GAGAAACATCGACGTGAAGGGACACATCGAGTGGCTGCCACCCGCACGACCAACCAGGGCCGGGGACAAACTGCAACCGAAGTACGTGCCCTTAGCGGGAACCGAACCCGGGTCTCTCCGGACCGCAGGTCGACGCTCTAACCGCTGAGCCAAACTGGCCAGGGCCAGAGCTTGACCTTTTGAACTCATACTCTGTAAAGTCTGTCAAAAAAACCCCACCTCACTTTCTTCAACTTCAGAGCCTCATCCTTGAGTTCCCAGGCCTGACTACTCCTTTCCAACCTCAAACTTCAGATGTTATCGAGTCTTATCGTGTGATGAGATCATAAAGGCTACATGGTCTGTCCCCACTTCTTTCTATTGGATGCCTGAATCCTACATTGGTAACAACATCATGTTGCAAGTAACAGAAAAGTCTATTCAAACTAGCTTAAACAGTAACCTCCAGATGCCTTCCACCTTCAGGCAAGGTGTGATCCAGCAGCTCAGTGATGTCATAAGGATTCATTTCTTTCTCTCATCTCTGCCTTCTGTGGTGATCTAAGGGGCGTGCCTCACATCTCAAAATGTCTTCTTTGTCACATCTAGTCACACTTTATTGGTTATTTCCAGGAAGGAAGACAGAAAGTGCCTGGCATTCCCACTAAAAGTTCTGAGATGAATTCTAAATACACAAGCTTAATCACATGCACACCCTGAACCAGTCACCACTGGTAGTGGGGAGATAGAAGTCACTGGCTGGCTTAGACGCAAGTGTTCCTCTCCCAGATCCTCAAAGGGAAATTGGGCCTGATTGGATGGGAGAAGGAGTAGAGAAAATGAATGCTGGAGAGGCCAGGCATCAAATGGCCACTAGTCTCCTATAACTTCCCTGCCAAATGGTTGTCCAGACTCAGTTCATTGTCTCCCAGGCCCCCTCTGCCATGCTGGACTCTAGCTGTTGTCAGGCCTTTTCTGTTGACACGTCTCCCCTTAATAGTCCTATCTTTGGTCCTGGTTCCATCCTAAGGCCATAAGAATCTGGTCCTCTTGCTTGTGGCAGCCTTTCAGGGACAGAGCAGGGAATCAAGGTCTCCTTGTTCCTCTTTTCCAGGTAAAGCTTCCTACCTAGTTCCTCATCATTCTACATAGGACTCAGCTGTGCAATTGAACAGTTTCCTAACTTTTCCAGGCCTAATTTTCCTCACCTGTCAATCCTGCGGACAATCTGAGCTTCTCAACCTGGTGGGAGCTGTGGAATGGGAGTCTGCAAAGTCCCCAAACAATACTCTACAGCATCTAAATCTTTGGTTTTAGTGGACTAAAGTTATTTTCCCCACAATGGAAATTTAAAACATTTTAATGTCAAGAGTTGTGGACAACTCAACAATACAAGGACAAATAACCCAATTTGAAAACGCACGAAGCCCCTGAGTAGACATTTCCCCAAAGGCCCTGGCTGGGTGGTTCCATTGGTTGGAGCACTGTCCTGTACACCAAAAGGTTGTAGGTTTCATCTCCAGTCGGGGCACATACAGGAAGTGGCCAATTAATGGCTCTCTCTCTCTCTCTCAAAAATAAAAATAAACATAAAACATATCCTTGTGCCCTGGCTGGTTTGGCTCAGCAGTTAGAGCGTCAGCCTGCGGTCCAGAGAGACCCGGGTTCGGTTCCTGCTAAGGGCACGTACCTCAGTTGCAGTTTGTCCCTGGCCCCGGTTGGGTCGTGCAGGTGGCAACCACTTTATGTGTCCCTTTCATGTCGATGTTTCTCTCTCTCTCTCTCCCTCTCACTCTATCTGAACAAAATATCGAAAAATGTCCTCAGGTGAGGATTGAAAAAAAAGATTTACGCCTGGCCAGTGTGCTCAGTGAGCATCGACCCATGTACCAAGAGGTTGCCAGTTCAATTCCCAGTCAGGACACATGCCCAGTTGTGGGCCAAATCCCCAGTGGGGGGCCTGCAGGAGGTGGCCAATCGATGTTCTCTCTCATCGATGTTTCTATCTCTCTCTCCCTCTCCCTTCCTCTCTCTCTAAAATCAATAAAGAAAATAAATAAATAAATAAAAATAAAAAGAGACAATAGCAAGTGATGGCAAGGGTGTGGATAGTGGAGCCCTCACAGATTGCTGGTGGGGATATAAAATGGCATAGGCTCTTTGGTAAAACAGTTTGGCAATGCCTCAAATACAAACATAGTGTTACCATATGACCCAGAAATTCTATTCATACACACACACACACACACACACACACACACACACACGGTGTCCCAAAAATTGTATACACACTATGAATAATTATAAATCCAAAGGTTTAAATTTGAAAAGAAATATCAATTGAGCTATCAGCTGTTAAGTATGTATACATATTTATATATATTTCCAAGATAACTGAAAACATATGTCCATGCAAAAACTTGTATGTGAACATTCATAATTACATTCATAATAGCAAAAACGTGGAGATGACTCATTTTTGTTTATCAATTGATGAATGGATAAATAAAATGTGGTATATCCATACAATGGAACATTATTCAGCCATAAAAAAAATGAAGTACCAAAAAAAAAAAAGAATGACGTACCGATACATGCCACAACATGAATGAACCTTGAAAACATGCTAAGTAAATGAATCCAGACACAAAATGACACATAGTGTATTATTCCATTTATATGAAATGTCCAGAATAGGCAAATCCATAAAGATAGGAAACAGATTAGTGGGGAGGGGAAAAGAGGGAGTGACTGCTAATGGGCACAAGGCTTCTTTTTGGGGTGATGTAAATGTTCTGACTTGTACACTTTAAAAAGATGAGTTTTATACAATCACCCCAGTAGAGAACCACTGCTTAACTGCTGCAGAGACCCGCACAGCGTGCACCCACCACCTTTTGTATTCACACTCCCTGTGTGCCTACAATGGACCCAAGACCAGCTGCAGTATAACCTCATTCCTTAGCTGAGAACCTATGATAAACAGTCACCCACTGATAAGAGTCCATACTCCAATAAGTGGTAGCAGTATTCCATGGGTGGACATGCCACGATTACTCTAAATGACTTCCTCTTGAAGCATATTTAGGTTGTTTCTAGTTTTTCACCATTATACATCATGCCTGCATGAATTTTTTTTTTAAGTAAATACATGTATTTATTTTCTTTTTTAAAAATATGTTTTTATTGATTTTTTAGAGAGAAATAGAAACATTGGTGTGAGAAATATATCAATCAGCTGCCTCCTGCATGCCCCCTATTGGGGATCGAGCCTGCAACCTGGGCATGTGTCCTGACTGGGAATCGAACCAGGACCTCTCAGTCCATGGGATAGCACTCAATCCACTGAGCCACACCAGCTGGGCTATTTATTTTCTTTTGTTAATCCTCACCCGAGGATATCTTTTCATTTATTTATTTTTTCATCCTCACCCAAGGATATTTCTTCCACTGATCTTCAGACAGAGTGAGAGGGAGGAAGGGAAGGTGGGAAAGAAGGAGGGAGGGAGGGAGGGAGAGATAGAGAGAGGGGGGAAGAGAGAGAGAGAGAGAGAGAGAAACATTGACATGAGAGAGACACATGGCTGCCTCCTGCATGACCCCAGCCAGGACTGGGGATTGAACTGCAACTGAGGTATGTGTCCTTGACCAGAATTAAACCCACAACTCTTTGGTCCCGGGGATGATGCTCCAACCACTGAGCAAAACTGGCCAGGACCTCCATTGATTTATTTTGGGGGGGAGGGGTATGTGCCCCTAGCAGGAACCGAACCCGGGACTCTCTGCTCCACAGGCCGATGCTCCAACTGCTAAGCCAAACCGGCCAGGGCCTCCACTGACCTTTAGATAGAGTGGAAGGGAAGGAGGGAGAGAGAGAAACATTGATGTGAGACATCAATTGGTTGCCTCCTGCATGACGCTGACCAGGGTTGGGGGTCGAACCTGCAACCCAGGTATGTGCCCTTGACTGGGAATCGAACCGGAGACCCTTCAGTCTAACTGCTGAGCTACACCAGCCAGAGTATGCCTGCATGGATTTTAAAATGAGACGTGGGCCTTCGAGGACCTGTTGGGCTTGTGAAGGACTGCTCCATCCTCTGCTTCCTCTCCCCACTTCTAGCTCTGCCCTTCCCAGAGCTACCCTTAGGAGGAAGTATCATGAGTTGCTCTGTGCCTTAGTTTCCCCATGGGTGGGCTTTAGTAGTAGCTTTCTTCCTCCCCTGTTTCTGAGTCTTCTTCAGGAGAACAGGAGCCCCACAGCCAAGGATGGGCTGGAAAGTTAATAGGCAGATTCCCAGTAATGAAAGAGCCAAGGGAAAAAGAGAACCCTTGGAAGATGGCACGGCCCTTGCTGATCCCCTTCTAAGTCGCTGCTGGGGCTGCCTGTCCCAGGAATCTTTACCCCATCCTGTCTGGACAGCCTCCCAGCCTTGTCTGCAGGGAGCAGCCGGAAGGTGGTGGGCACTGAGGTCCTCCCTGGAGAGGCTGCTGCTGTCACAGCCATGAGGGACTAATGCCATGGATTGTCATATCTTAGGATTTTTTTCAAAGTTAGGCATCCAGATTTTTAAAGGCTGACAACTAATTTATAGAATGTATGTAACACTGTGGATGTCAATCTGAGCACAGCTTCGGATTGGACCATCTCTTCGTGCACTTGGCTGAGGAACTGTTATAATCAGAATTCACGTTCTGCAAGGTTGTTTGGGATCAAACCAGAATAACCAGGCAGAGATGGCACAGAGTTCTGGACTGTCAGAACTGGAGGTGGTCTCCTTGTGGCACAGGTGTGGACACTGAGGCCCAGAGTGAAGTGTCTTGCCCAACATCACACAGGTCTCCTGTCCCCAGCTCATGGCTCTCACCTCACTCCTAGGCCCTGACCTGTTGCCCAAACCTACCTGCTTCTTAGCCAACGGTATTTCAGAACATTGGCCAACAGTGGATGTCTGGCAAAGGAAAGGAGAGGCCCCTTTCAGGAAGGCACCAGCCCTGTATGTCGCCAGAAGCCCTTAGGCACGGCAGCCCAAGGAGCACCTAAAAGGGGCAGTAAGTGGCAGTGGATCAGAGAAGGAACAATGGCAGGGGCTTGGAGGGCACTCGTGCTGGTGGTAGGCTTGGCAGCAGTGGCCTGTGTGGCCCAACGCCGTCAGAGTTATTATGAGAAGCTTGTCACCCAGGCCTTGCAGTTCTTCAACTATGGGCGACAAGGACAGCCCCTCTTTGGTTTGCTGGAAGCTGTCCCCCCGCCTAGCTCGGTGAGTGTCCATGGCCCCAAGCCAGGGAAGCTGGGAACACCTGCCTTGTAGCAGCCTGTGAGGGTGGCAGGCAGGAGAGAGTGCCTGGCACAAGGCCAGAGTGCTCGGTTAAGATAAGCTATTGTTATTATTACGATGTTTCTCCCGCTGGAAGGTAAGAGATTGTCATCTCTGGCCTGACAGCTGCCGAGCTGGGAAATGTGGGGCTTTACCCAGGCATGAAAGGTGGAGTCTGGGAATCTGTCCTGCACTCGGGCCCTGGGCTTGAAGGAATGTTTCAGAGGACAGACAGGAAAGGGACTGGTCTCACCAGAGCCTTCCCAGGGGCCTCCAATGTCCCCTTCCTGCCCCCTTTCCTCTCTTCTGGCAGTTGGCCGAAATTGAGGGGCAAAAATGGGAAGTGACCCCTCAAGGTCGATAGCTGTGAAGTGCATCCTTTGGCTGGTTTCCAAAAGCTCCGCACACCTTAAACCTCTGCTGAGGCCACTTAAGAGGCCCCTGGTTTTGGTGGAAAGTGCAGACCTCAGCCCAGCGCCTTCCAACCTGTAACTGCGAGCTAGCTCACTGTGCCTTTGCTGCACTCTGCGGAAGGGAGGTGATCAGGGGCTCTCCTGCTTCCTAGAACTCCACCACCAGGACACTGCTCAACTTCAGGATCAAAGAGACGGTGTGCCTTTCAGGAAGGCAGCGACAACCCCAGGAGTGCGCCTTCAGGGATGGTGGGGTGAGTGTCCCAGCCCAGGGGAGGCTGTGTGTTTGCCTCCACCCACTTCACCTGGCCGTGGGAGGTTTCACTGTAGAAGCTTTTTGGGGAAAAAACAACAATTTTTCCCTATTGCTTTTTCTTACTTTAAATTATTCTCAATCTTTACAATGAAAGCAACACAGGCTAAAAATACTAGATAGAAAAAAGTGGGATTATAATGCACCTTAGATATAAAAAATTATAAAAGTAACATTTTATGATAGCAAATTAACAAACTGTGGAGAAGCAAAATAAAATAAGGTAAAAATCTCCCATAACCCCACTACCCAGGGACAGACAATCATGGGTGTGTCCTCTTCTGTGTCCTTTTTATGTATGTACATATTTTAAACAGGGCTCTCTCCCAACATGCTAATTTAACGATGCTTATTCCCACTGAGTAACTGACAACAACAGCTTTTACCTTGATGGGTGTGCATCAAGTCCACTTGGGTCCTTCCCAGCGGTGGCCCTTTCTGGGGGGGCCTGGGGTACTCCTCAGCCAGCACCTCTAGCTCGGGAGGCAGGTCTTGGGGCAGTGGACCGCTTCCAGCCTGTGTCGCCGCCTTGCAGGAGGAGCGGAACTGCACGGGTTTCTTCTTGAGGCTGAGGCGTTTCCGTGTCCTGACGGTCGACTGCCCAGGCCGCCAAGAGGTGAGCCATTGGCTTGGGCGAGTTTCCTCGTCTGGAGACTGGGGCCAATCAAGCCTTCCTCAGTGCAAGCTCTCAGGAGGGATCTTGACGGGACAGTGGGTCATTTGGCAGGAGGGGAGGGGAGGGGAGGGGAGGAGAGCTTGGTGGTCGGGGCTTGGGGGTTCTGGGAGAGGCATTCTGCCTTCTCAGGCAGGACACCGGTTCTGCTCTGGGTCCAAGAGACTCCTTGTAAACTGACCCTCCTCCCCATTCCATGTTTGGGAAAACTGAAACCAGAGGTGGAGCCTCCTGGCGAGTGAGTGGAATAGCCAGGGTGGATGTGGGTCCCAAAGTCCAGGCTTGCCCAGACCCTCTGGGCTCCGAGGGGAAGGGCCTGATTGGGGACCACCTCCAGACCCATGACTGACATTGCTGCCAGGGCCTCTGTCTCTTCATCCCCACCTGGAGAGAAGGTCCATAGGCAGGACAGGAATGGGGGTGTGACAATCAGTGAGGGTGATGAGAGTGATGGCAGCATCACTTCTGCAGGTCCTGAGGGAGAAGCGGTCTACATCCCCGGAGGCAGCCACTTCGGAGATTGACAGCTCCAAGCTGCCACCTGTGGTCAGAGACATGTACGAGAAAGCCAAGTTCGACATCATCTCCAATATCCTGAGGAATTTCTAGAGCTGCAGAAGGAAGGGGAGGCCCCGTACCCCTACCACAAGCTCCTCTTCCCACCCGTCCACTCCCTCTGTTGTCTGTAAGGACACAGATCAGGCTCACTTTGGTAGTCTTAATCTCATTTGATGGGGCAAGAATGTCCTTAACCGCTGTCCGTTGGCCTGGGGGACTGGCGCCAGGCAAAGTGCTCGACCATTGTCACCTTGCTCAGCCTTGTCTCCCACCCTGAACGGCCTGCCTCGAGCTTGTAGATTAACTCCCATCCTGCTCTTATCTATTCACATTCCAGAGGCTCCATGCATAGCCCCCGCAGGGCCAAACCCTAAGGGACAAATTCCAGCTACAACAGGCAGATATAAAAGACACGAGCCCCTACATTGAGCGCGGCTTCTCGGACTCCTGACCCCCGGAGTCTGTGAACCCGCCCGGAGTGTACTCAATAAAGCCTGATCCCTGTTTATTCAGCTGATTGGTTCTCCAGTCTCTTCTCTGTTTTATTCGGCGGCGCCCCCGATTCCTTACAACCACAAAAGTCTAACCCCCTAAGAGAAGCAGGTGCCCACATTCACGAAGCCCCCAAGCAAGCGAAGAAATTGAATCAGAAATTTAAAATCTTTTTTCCTCCAATAAAAGACACAGATGGCTTCGCTGGTGAATTCTATCAAATATTTTAAAAATAATACCAATCCTTCACAAAGTATTTCATAAGTCGAGTAGTAGAAAACACTTTACTCATTCCATGAGGCCAGTATTACCAGCCAAAGACATCACAAGAAAAGAAACTACAGAAAATATTTCCAGTGACGATGGATGCAAAAATACTTAACAAAATGTTATGCCCTGCCTGGTTTGGCTCAGTGGTTCGAGTGTCGGCCTGTGGACCAGAGTCCCAGGTTCGGTTCCTGCTAAAGGCACCTACCTTGGTTGCAGTTTGTCTCTGGCCCCGGTTGGGGTCGTGTGGGTGGCAACCAGTCAATGTGTCTCTCACAATGATGTTTCTCTCTCTCTTCCTTCCTCTCTCCCTCCCGCTTATCTGAAGATAAACGCAAAAATGTCCTCGGTGAGGCTAAAAAACAAAAACAAAAAAAACAACAACACAATGTTAGCAAACCACATCCAGCAACATAAAAAGGACTATACACCATGATTAGTGGGATTTATCCCAGGAATGCAACGTTGGATCAACATCTTGAACGTCAATTAATGTTAGATACCATATTAACAAGTTAAAGGACAAAAACCACTCGATCATCTCAATAGATGCAGGAAAAGTATTTGACAACATCTAACACCCATTCATGACAAAAACTCAACAAACTAAGGATAGAGTGAGACTTCATTTTCTAAACACTATGCTGTATACCTGAAACTAATACAAAATGATATTTTAAAAAAGAGAAAAGAGCCCTGGCCGGTTTGGCTCAGCAGTTAGAGCGTCGGCCCACAGACCGGAGAGTCCCAGGTTTGGTTCCCGCTAAGGTTTCAGTTTGTCCCTGGCCCTGGTTGGGGTCATGTGGGTGGCAACCAGTCAATGTATCTCTCTCATCATCCGATGTTTCTCTCTCTCTTCCTCCCTCTTTCCCTCATGAAAAAAAAAAGAGAGAGAAAAGAGCCCTGGCCAGTTTGCCTCAGTGGGTGGAGCATCCGCCCACAGACCAAAGGTCAAGGGCACATACCTCAGTTGCAGTTCAATCTATCCCTCTTCAGGGTTCTGCAGGAGGCAGCCAATTGATGTGTCTCTCTCTCATAAATGTATCTCTTCTCTCTCTCTCCCTCCCTCCCACTCTATCTGAAAATCAATGGAAAAATATCCTCAGGTGAAGGTTAAAATAAATACATATAGACATAAAAGAGAAAAGATACCAGGAAAAACAAAACAAAACAATAAGATAACATGACACATACATCATAATGGTTCAGATTTAAATGATTATACCAACTGTTGGTGAGGATATATATCAAATGAACTCCCACATACTACTCATGAGAATAGAATGTGGTACAATAATTTTGAAAAAGAGTTTGGCATTATCTGCTAAAGGTAAATAAACACTTATGACCCAGTAGTTCTTCTTTTATAAAAAATGTATACATAGTGCAAAGAGACATACACAAGAATATTCATTGCAGCTTTATTCATAATAACCAAATACTGAAAAAATTCTAAATGACCATCACCAGTAGAAAGGATAAAGTAGATAGCAACACAGTGGAATACTGCACAGCCCTAACAATGAACATACCGCTACCCAAAATGTGGGTGAATCTCACAATGCTGAACAGAAGGTAGACATAGAAGGAACTATAATGTATAATTAATTGTATACAAAGTTCAAAATTGGCAAAATAATCTGTTGTATCCAAAGTAAGGCTAGTGATTACTTCTGAGGAGGAGGGAGGTGGTACCGATCAATAGGAGGTACAAGCCCTAGTCAGTTTGGCTCAGCGGTTGGAGCGTCAGCCTGTGCACCAGAGAGTCCCAGGTTTGGTTCCCACTAGGGGCACATAACAAAAAAAAAAAAAAAAAATAGGAGGCCCAAAATGGGAGATCAGGTGTTTTGGAATGTTAGTAACATTTTAATCTGGGTAGTAGATATATGATTGAGATGTTCCCTTTGTGGTAATTCATTCAGTGTAACTCTTACCAGTTGTGTACTCTTCTGTATGTAAAAAAATCAAGTAAATTTTATTTTTAGCCCTGGCCGGTTTGGCTCAGTGGTTTGAGCATCTGCCTGCCGACCAATGAGTCGCAGGTTCGATTCCGGTTAAGGGCACATACCTCGGTTGTGGTTCATCCCCAGGCCTGGTCAGGTCATGCAGGAGGCAACCAGTTGATGTGGCTCTATCACATCAGTGTTTCTGTCTGTCTCTTTCTCTCTCCCTCCCTCTCACTCTGTCTGATGATAAATGGAAAAATATCCTCAGGTGAGGAATAAAAACATTTAAAGAATTATTTTATTTTTATTAAAAAATTTTTTTGCCCTGGCCGGTTTGGCTCAGCGGTTAGAGCGTCGGCCTGCGGTCCTGAGAGACTCGGGTTCGGTTCCCGCTAAGGGCACGTACCTCGGTTGCAGTTTGTCCCCGGCCCTGGTCGGTTGTACGGGTGGCAGCCACTCGATGTGTTCCTTTCACATCGATGTTTCTCTCTCTCTCTGTTCCTCTCTCTCCCTCCCACTCTACCTGAACAAAAAATGGAAAAATGTCCTCGAGTGAGGATAAAAAAAAAAATTAAAAAAAATAAAATAAAAAAATTTTTTTTCTTTATTGATTTTAGAGAGAGAAGGGAGAGATGGAAACATCGATGAGAGAGAACATCGATTAGCCGCCTCCTGCATGCCCCCAACAGGCTCCCCACTGGGGATCTGGCCCACAACTTGGGCATGTGCCCTGACTGGGAATCTAACTGCGATCTCTTGGTACATGGGTCAATGCTCAACCAGTGAGCCACACCAACCGGGCAAAAAATCAAGTACATTTTAATTAAATAAGAACTATTAGAAAAATTCTAAGAGGAATTAGAATGAATGGTCTTGCTTTATCAGATATTTTAAAAATATCAAGTAATTAGAACTCTGGTCCTAGTTAGTACGTGGGTATTAAGTCAAATCAATGGCAGAGAACAGGGCTGAGAAATAAACTTAAAATACCTATAAGAATTTGTCATATAATAAAGGTGGCTTTATAGGGAAAAAAGGGGGACATCTGTAATACTTTCTTTTTTTTTTTTTTTTATCCTCACCCTGAGGATATTTTTCCATTTTTTGTACAGATAGAGTGGGAGGGAGAGAGAGGAAGGGAGAGAGAGAGAGAAACATCGACGTGAAGGGACACATCGAGTGGCTGCCACCCGCACGACCAACCAGGGCCGGGGACAAACTGCAACCGAAGTACGTGCCCTCAGCGGGAACCGAACCCGGGTCTCTCTGTACCGCAGGCCGACGCTTTAACCGCTGAGCCAAACTGGCCAGGGCATTAATACTTTCAACAATAAAAATAAATAAAGGTGGCTTTTTAACTAGTAGGAAGACTAGATTATTCAAAAGTGGTATAAGCCCTGGCCGGTTTGGCCCAATGGTTAGAGCGTCGACCTGTGGACCAGAGAGTCCTGGGTTTGGTTCCCACTAGGGGCACTTACCCTAGTTGCAGTGTGTCCCCGGCCCAGGTTGGGGTTGTGTGGATGGCAACCACTTGATGTGTTTCTCTCATGTCGATGTTTCTCTCTCTGTCTTCCTCTCTGTCTTCCTCTCTCTCTTCCCCTCTCTCTCCCTCCTGCTCTATCTGAAGATAAATGCAAAAATGTCCTCGGGTAAGGACAAAAAAAAAAAGTGGTATAAAAAGTAAAATAATATAAAGATGGATCCCTATCTTCACTCCCTTAATCAAAGTAAATACTAGAAGGACAAAGATTGAATACATAAAATGAAACCATCAGTACTAAAATAAAACATGAGTAATACTTCTAGAATCTTAGAATTAGGAAATTAAAAAACCATAAGAAAAAAAAGCATTGATAAATCTGACAGCATAAAAATATGGGTTTTAATGCACAAAAAGGGACAACACCCACAAAGTAAAAAAACTGGGGAAAAATATCTTCAACAGAAATATTCAGTAAGCTTTTTAAAAATAAAAAAAGCAAAAACAAAAGAAACCCAACAATCCAAAACACACAATTCACAGGAGAAATGTAAATGGCCAGTAAATATTAAAAGATGCTTAATTCCACAAGCAAAATAAACACAAATGAAAATAAGATGCTATTTTTCACTAATCAGATGTTTGAAATAGGAATGCTTGGTGTGGGAAATAGGGTAAATGTAGGTGGCAGTGCTACATGGTCTAATCTTTTACCATCTATCAACATTTATTTATTTAAAATATGTTTTTATTGATTTTTTAGAGAGAGAGAAACATCAATGAGAGAGAAACATTGATTGGCTGCCTCCTGCACGCTCCTTAATGGGGATCGAGCCTGCAACCCGGGTGTGTGTCCTGGCCAGGAATCAAACCTGGACCTCTCAGTCCATGGGATGATGCTTAATCCACTGAACCACATCGGCTGGGCTATCAAAATTTTAAATGGTCATTGTGCCCTTTACCTCAGGGGTTCCTCATCTTGAAACCTAAGTGAAAATACTGACTCAACCAAAAACATGTATAGAGATGTTCACAGCAGCACTGGCTAT